GTGTGTGTGTGTGTGCAGGTATTAAAATATAAACAGTGTCCAAAAAAGGCCTGAGGTTTTGTGTTGTTGATTTTTTTAATTGCTTATTATTTTTTTTTTTATCTTGTATTTTGACGATTTTTTTAAAATTGAAAATGTGTTTTAAAAATAGGAGATAAGTATTACTTATCTGAAAGAATAAAAACGAGGGAAGTGATAATTAGCAAAAAAATAATAATTAAAAAAATCGTTATCCTGTAATTATCTGTGTGTGTGTGTGTGTATAAGTGGATGTATGTGTGCGTGCGTTTATGTGTGTTCTATAATTAACATATGCAAATATGTTACCGATACACATACATACACGATTTTACACGCACATTCTTCAACAAGTAAAGACATACATACATACATACATACATACATACATACATACATACATACATATGGATATAAGTTGATTGTTATCGATTATAATTACGTATTCAAATTGAATCTCATTCTCGAAAAACAAAATCGATGGCACTAAGAGAAACGGCAAGACTAACCAGACGAAAGAAGGAAGAGAAGTAAAAAGCCCCCCGCCTCCCCCCCCCCTGGAGACCGGCCAAGTGGGTCAGGCGGCACTCAGCGTTTCCATTTCACCTCCTCCGTCCCCGAGTCTATTGGTCCCGCCACTGATGTGGTTCGCCTTTGCGTGTAGTCGCGATAAATAGGAACGATATTGAGAAAGCAAGTCAGAAGGACAGATCGATTGTAATATCACAAGAGCATCGAAGGTTTTACAAATTCACGGCTGTACTGACTACAGCGGTGCGCAGAAATTGTGCCAGTGAAAAGTGCTTGTTTTGCCTTGGCTTGAAGATGAGCATTTTAATAAGCCCCATCACTAACACCCGACATCCCCTGGGTGCAACGACCCCCCCCCCCGACAGACAGCTCCTCTCCTTCAGGAGGCGGCTGAGGTGATTACCCGGCACCTTAAGTGGCCCCAAAACGAGAAATGCCGAGAAGGATTCAGCAATTTTTCCACGATATTGCCGTAAAGCTCACTTTAAACTGACCTTGTGTCACATTCGGTAGTGACATGGGTACCCTGAAAAAAAAAAAAACAAATATATCAGTATAATAGGTAGATACGCAACTATCTTAGGATTTTACATGAAGCTTTGATGAAAATTATATCAGTTTTTAAACTCTAGCAATTTTTGGGAATCGTTTGACTTTGTGATGGCTTTTATTAAAATAAACTGATTAGCAAGTAAGCAAAAAAAAAAAAAAGAGGTGTAAGACAATGATGTGTCTTCTCGCCGGATTTATTTAAGCTTAATGAGGGATCTATGGAAGAAAAGTTTATTCTCCCATTTTGCGTTTAACCCCAACTCCCATTATTGCCATTATTATACACATAACTAGCAGGCTTTGCCAGCTCGCTATCGCTTCGTAAAGTAAGATATATTCACTACTTGAAATCTTTGAAACAAAAATTTTAAATGAACATTTCATTCATAAATTGGCTTCTTATAGTTAAGGAAAGTTTTACAAATAGATGCCAACTTGTTGAATTTTCGCATTTATTCATATAGATTCCATAATATAGGTTTTACTTAATTAGCTATTATGTTTCTCTAACTCATCAAATGGTGAATGTATAACTAATTCTAATTTCTATTTTCCCATCTTTACACTATATTAATTTTATCTTATAAATTGTCCCCTGTTCTGTCACCCATGAAATAAAAATAACTGTTTGTACACGTAAATAAGTATCTACGTACATCAAATCGTCTTTAAATTAAGTGGCAGCAGAAGAATTATCGTTAAACTTTTAAAAGAGAAGCTTAAACATTAATTCAATACTTAAACGCAGCGAGCAATTTTGAGTTCTTCTGTAATAATTTCTGCCTATCGCATCTACTCCTACCTAGCTATTGTGATGATGGCCATACCAAGAGTCATCCACAAGAGCTAGCTTAAATTCCACCCGAAAGCGCCGCTTTTAAGTTAGCTGCCATTTTGGATACAAAAGGAAAATAAGAGTTACTCACCTTGAACCACGAAAACAACGATAACGGCTAGTATAATATATATATATATATATATATATATATATATATATATATATATATATATATAGCCTCGCATAATCTGGCAACCCTGAATTTGAGCCCAACGAAAATCGCTCCCTGCGCCTAACTTTTGTAGGGCTTTTGAATGAGCTATGAATCATTGGAATCGGGCTAATGGAAGCTGAGGAGTTGCTTCGACACACATACAGGCGCACAAACACACACATAAACTTTACTTTATATATAAGATATAATAACGCCTTATTTCACGGACGGGACGGAATGGCTGAAAGGAAAAGCAAAGACAAATATGCTTGGTTCACAAAGAGAGTTTTATAATGGTTAATCATACACAAAATTATATATACATATTTACACGTGTCCCAAGCGAAGAAAATATAACACATATCTACACAACAAGCAGTGTGAAAAGAGAACAAAAAGATAGTATTATGTATAATAACGCTCAACGGGAACTGGGACTGCTGGAGATTATTCTGTGATTCAGGAGAAGCTATATTTAGGATTCCAGATTCGTGCGGGCCGGATACATCTGCTATGTCGCTAGCGAAGACATATTCCGCAAACGTCAAGTCGTGTGTCCTGGGTTTTTCCCAACATGAGAAGCCGGATATATTTTCTATATCTGGTGAAGATATATTCCCATATGAAATAGTATTTGCGCCTTAGTGAATATAACAAACCCCAATGGAATTGCAACTGGACTCTCCGATAAACAACGCCGAGCCATTATCAATTACACCACCTGCGCACCAAAGCTTACAGTATCTGGTATTCCAGATAGATAGATAGATAGATAGATAGTAATACACTGATATATATATATATATATATATATATATATATATATATATATCCATGTCACCTTAATTTTAAGAGTGAATACCCACTTAGATATAAAATAATAGTTATAAAAAATTTCCTGAAGAGAGCACACGAGAATTCATCCTCTTGTCCCTTTTTCTTAAAGAATTCAATAATGTAAAACAGACGATAGTTAACAGTGGTTTTCCTAACTACCTCACTGATCATCAAATTAGACTATTTCTTTCTAAAGTAACTAATAGCAATATTGAACATACAGATTAAAACAACAACATTAACATCTTCTACAAAAGCCAAATACATGTCAACTATAAGCAAGACGAGTTTTCTCTTAGTAATATCATAAAGAAATGTACAACCCCAGTCGTCCACAGCAAGAAAATTAAATTAATTATCTATTACAAAAAATTTAAAACAGCCAAACATTTCATCAAAAATAACAAAGCATCCGCAAAATCAAAACTACAAAGAACCAACATTATTTACAAGTTCAAATGCCCTTTAAGAAATTCTGTTCCTGATCAAACCAAACTCATAAATAATTACGTTGATCATACTACTACATTCTTATCTACACGACTCACGTTACACCTGCCCTGCCATAGCTCAATTAGCACCCATTTAAACACACACGAAAACCTGCCCAACTCCATTCGAAACATACTATTAGAAAATACAAGTATTATAGCCTCATCTGCATGTAAAAAAGATTAAAAATAATGGAAGTCTTAATAATAAAAAGGAAAAGCCAACACTCAATAACATTAACTAAGAACACGGCAACAATCTTCTGGCTGTGTTTGATAAATAAAAAAAAATCCTATAACTTCAGGCAAATACATAAAAAAAAACACATATTCAGTCAAAAATAAAACTCACCCTTGATAATGGCTAAAAAAAATAGCCGAAAGCGCCCGGATATGCAGAACTTTTAGACAGTTTTGCATACTTTATGTCTAGAAAATAAGACATTTGTACAAACAGAAGAAAAGTTACATAAAAAGCTTAATCGCAGTACCTTTTCAGTCGTCTTTAACGAAACTTGTATAAAAGAGGGATTGCTGCCCAAATACACAATTATATATATATATATATATATATATATATATATATATATATATAGAGAGAGAGAGAGAGAGAGAGACTGGCAGACAGACAGACATACAGGCAGGCTTTCTTTCTTTATTGTGGTTGTTGTTACCAAGTTGTTTCTATTTCACAGTTACTTTTAATGACATTCTTTGTTACCAAGGAGTATCAATCTTTTAGTTACTTTTAATATTACTCCTTGTTAACAAGTGTATCAATTTCGTAGTTATATTTAATATTACTCATTATTATCAAGGAGTATATTTCTTACAGTTACATTCAAAGATATTCTTTGCTATCAATGAGTATCGCTTTGATTACTTTTAACGTTACTCCTTCAAAACAAGTAGTATCACAATCGTAGTTATTTTGATGATACTCCTGATTACTAAGACATATCAATTTCGTTGTTGCTTTAAATCATAGTCTTCGCTACTAAGGAGTATCATTTTTCTAGTTATATTTAATGATACTCGTTGGTAACAAGTACTATCGTTTTTGTTTACTTTTAATGATACTTCGTTCATACTAAGGAGTATCCTTTTCGTAGTTACTTTTGATGATACATCTTTTTACAAAGGAGTATCATGTTTCGTAATTACTTTTAATGATACTTCTTTTCTGCTAAGGAGTATCATTTTCGTAGTTACTTGTAATGATACTGCTTTTAACTAAGGAGTATAATTTTTCATAATGATTTTAATAATACCTCTTTTCTACTAAGGACTATCATCATTCGTAATTACTTTTAATGATTCTCCTTTGTAACAAGGAGTTTCACTTTCTCCGTTACTTTTAAGAGGAGAAATTTACTAAGCATTCTAGATCGCGATGTGGCTAATATAAAATCAAGAAGGAACAACTTTCCATTTTGGGAAAAGTTAAAAGAGATTTGAAAATTTAAACACCTAAAGAATGGGATTTGTAAGCACGCACACGCTGGCTTAAGTGCGCACGCGCATTCAAGTAGCCTTTGTTCCTCTTTCCAAATCCCACAATTCCCGCACGTTCTTTACTATGATTCTTCCCGTTTTTCCTCTCTTTCTTCACCGACTCTTCTCCGACAGACACATACACGAACAAACCCTGTCCACCTGTTTATCTGTCTCCCTCGAGGTAGACATGCAAACAGATACAACGTTTAGGCTTCTCTGGAACAAGGTTAAATTTAGCGACACAAAAATCTACTTGAATTCGAATATTGTCAACTGACAACGTTATGGGAAACAACACAATATAATTATCTCAGCCAAGAAGCTCTTTCTGCGTGCCGTTTCCTTGGAGAATGGGAGCGATGATGACTCTCCACAACTTCCTATCCCTTGTAGATCTTAGTAAAATTTGTTTTTATCATCCCTTCGAACTCTTGGTTTACCATATATTACACATGATTTTTGAGTAGGTTAGGCATTGTTTGTTTCTGTCCACCTTACCTTACCGTGAGTGTCAAACTAGCTAATCACTCTTTCGTCATTTACATTTTTTCTATCTTATATTGTTATGTACGAAAACAGGGGAGGGTGCTGACCCGTGAAAAATTATGACACGTACGAGCAGCCCTATTTTTTACAAATTATCTGTTTGAACAAATTAACTACCTAGAAAACGAAATGGAATTATTAAAAAAAAATTCTAGACTTATAAAAGAAGAACAAAGACTTTTCTTTACCAACGTGTTTCGTCCATTGATTGACTTTATCAAGGCAAATGTAAAGATTTTATTTTGCAATATGTATTTGTAAACAGAAGTAAAATATCGTTAAGTTTACAAAAAGCATTAGATTACATCACTTATCAACTTCCATAGTTTACCTTGAATTTCTTTGTTAGCCTTATGAATATTTTTGAACGCGCTTAAATTTTAAAATTTTGTAAACTTAACGATATTTTGCTTCTGTTTACAAATACATATTGCAAAATAAAATCTTTACATTTGCCTTGATAAAGTCAATCAATGGCCGAAACACGTTGGTAAATAAAAATCTTCATTTAATTATTATTCGTATTGTCACTTTACAGATATATTTTATTTATATACGAACTTTTACACACACACACACATACACATCACACAGACACCCTACACACACAGCGCACACACACACACACACATATATATATATATATATATATATATATATATATATATATATATAGTAGTACCCCAAACAAACACAGAAGTATATTCCCCCTCAGGCCACAAAACAGTCAAACACAGATACAATTTTAAAATATAAACAAGTTTGTCTTATAATGGCAAAACACACAAAACACATATATATATATATATATATATATATATATATATATATATATATATATATATATATATATATATATATATATAAACAAACATGAGTTTATATTGCAAACCATATTAAAAACAGAATTCATTCACTAGCTCAATCACTAAATCTACTTTAAAATCTAACGATTCTAATAGTCAAAAAAACATAATTTACCTCTAGAAAATGCCAGAAACAATATGTAGGAAAAGCCTTTAACTACAGAATTAATAATTATCGTAAGCGAATTAAATCAAACAATTTCCGCCTAGAAAACACGATTTCAAAACCCATAGATTCACTATAATTGAGAGAATAGAAAAGTTCAGAGCAGATAACATTAGAAAAATTTGAGTCCCATGAAAATAAGTGGATACAACGTCTAAAAAACACAATACCCATAAATCAAATTTAACAACATATAATATCAAATCAAAACCTATCACCCACACAAGACAGACATATATATATATATATATATATATATGAGCCAAATATAACACACATACAGCAATATATATATATATATATATATAAAATATGACCAGAGAATTCAGGATAAAAATGTATCTTATCCAGTTCTTATCTCAAATAACAACTTAAAAGAGACTGTTTTGACCAACACAAGGAATGTTAAAAGATTCATGTTAAAAAGATAAAAAATAAAAAAACAAATGAAAACTACAGACAAAAGTTCATTTTCTCCAACAAAAAACATTTCTGTAGTTCCTTGTGAAATATTTTGCTCGATGATGGCCATCGAAACCGAGGAATTTTGGAATAATAATAATAATAAAAAAACGAAAAGAATATTAATTATAACCCAGTGTGTCTAATGATTTTAATTTTTAATTTTTAATTTTTTAATTTTCTTATTGTTCATATATATATATATATATATATTTCACGTACGTACGTTTATGTGCTTGCAGAAAATATTCATAGTTTTGTGTGCTCGTGTACATCACCGTTTTTGCATTTTCGCGTAGAATGTGTAAGTTTTCAACGTCTGTGTGTTTTTGCGTCTGCGTGTGCGTTCATGTAAGGGAAAGTTCACAATTACGCATGCGTGCTGATTTTACTTGACCTATAACATCAGGTTTCTATTTCCTCGCCGCCATATTTAGCCGTTTTCTAACGAGGGTCGTGTCATTTCTTTTCTCTCGTTCTCTCTTCGCAGCATACCTCGACGGTATATTTGAGCAATGAATTATTGCCCGTTTCCAAAGCATAAACTAGTTGGGTTGAAGACGATAAAACAAAAAATTTTTTTAATGCAGCAAACCTTTTTTTTTTATTATTATTTTACTATTAACAATCAACTCTTTTCGATATGTCCCTGTCAGACTGAATGAGGGTGTATAAAACGTCATCGCGTGACAGTGTTTTGAACTTTGGGCGCTCCTGGATGGCGTTTCAACATTTATAAAAGCTTCCTGCGCAATCTAAGACAATTAGTCCATGGATTATTTTATTCATTTCCGCTTCACTATACTTCAATATTATTATTATTATTATTATTATTATTATAATTATTATTATTATTATTATTATAATGCGTATGCATGCAGTTGATATAACTGTGATCGGAGATGGGAAATGAAATTGGCAGAATTCGTTCAAATTGCCACCAAGACTTTGTCAGTCAATTCACACTGACGCTCTTGAGAAAGGTATAAACATCTTTTTTCATGGGTTATATATTACGGTATAGGCGGTCTATCCTTGGTAGGGTAAACAGTATAGGAGAAGAAAACTTGCTATTTTTCAAACGAATAGTCATTTATAATTTATAGACATTAGAAATGGGAAATTTTGGAGAGCAAGTGTTTCGAGAGAACTGAATGAATATAGTCTTTTTTTTATATACAATATATATTTACTAATCTTATATATTTATTAAACAGCTGAACAGAGCCTAAGGTTAAATTGAAAAGGACTAGGAAAGGAAAAAAAACATACAAATTGGAATATTAGCCCAAACCTTCCTGGGAGAGGGGACTTTCCCTCCAGACAGTACCTCTCCCTCGGGAGGGGGCTTGGTTTATTGCTCAGTGCCTGAGGCGTCTCCAAAAGAGGAAGTGCCGAGGGGGTTTGGGAATTGTTGCTCGGTATGGCCGTTAAACGCACTTTAGACCTCGACCTTGTGCCGCATCTGGTTGCGACGTGGGTGCTTTCATAAATGTCACAAATTGGAAGAGCTTGTCTATGTACTGTGATCTTCTTTATTACTATAAAAGTCTGTGAACGTTGCTTGTGTGTTTGCCAGAAGTCATATATAGAGAGTAGGTGAAAGAAAGATATGAATTTTTATCGTATATGAAGCTGACGAAGAGAAGGAAATGAAGAAAAAACCGCTCTCTCTCTTTTCACTCACCTCTCTCTCACTCTCTCTCTTTCCGCCTCTCTCTTTTCACCTCTCTCTCTCTCTTTCCGCCTCTCTCTTTCCACCTCTCTCTCTCTCTCTCTCTTTCCGCCTCTCTCTTTCCACCTCTCTCTCTCTCTCTCTTTCCGCCTCTCTCTTTCCACCCCTCTCTCCCTTTCCGCCTCTCTTTCCACCTCTCTCTCTCTCTCCCTTTCCGCCTCTCTCTTTCCGCCTCTCTCTCTCCCTTTCCGCCGCTCTCTTTCCAACTCTCTCTCTTTCCCTTTCCGCCTCTCTCTTTCCACCTCTCTCTCTTCCTTTCCGCCTCTCTCTTTCCACCTCTCTCTTTTCGCCGCTCTCACTCTCTCTTTCCGCCTCTCTCTTTTCGCCGCTCTCTCTCTTTCCGCCTCTCTCTTTTCACCGCTCTCTATCTCTCTTTCCGCCTCTCTCTTTTCACCGCTCTCTCTCTCTTTCCGCCTCTGTCTTTCCACCTCTCTCTCTCTCTTTCCTCTCTCTTTCCACCCCTCTCTCCCTTTCCGCCTCTCTCTTTCCACCCCTCTCTCCCTTTCCGCCTCTGTCTTTCCACCTCTCTCTCTCTCCCTTTCCGCCTCTCTCTTTCCGCCTCTCTCTCTCCCTTTCCGCCTCTCTCTTTCCACCTCTCTCTCCCTTTCCGCCTCTCTCTTTTCACCGCGCTCTCTCTTTCCGCCTCTCTCTTTCCGCCTCTGTCTTTCCGCCTCTCCCTTTCCGCCTCTCTCTTTCCACCTCTCTCTCTCCCTTTCCGCCTCTCTCTTTCCACCTTTCTCTCTCTTTCCACCTCTCTCTTTTCGCTGCTCTCTCTCTCTCTTTCCGCCTCTCTCTTTTCGCCGCTCTCTCTCTTTCCGCCTCTCTCTTTTCACCGCTCTCTCTCTCTCTCTCTTTCCGCCTCTCTCTTTTCACCTCTCTCTCTCTCTCTCTCTTTCCGCCTCTTTCTTTCCACCTCTCTCTCTTTCCGCCTCTCTCTTTTCACCGCTCTCTCTCTCTCTCTTTCCGCCTCTTTCTTTCCACCTCTCTCTCTTTCCGCTTCTCTCTTTCCACCTCTCTCTCTCCCTTTTTCCACCTCTCTCTCTCCCTCTTTCCGCATCTCTCTTTCCACTCTGTGATTGCGTGCGTGCTTATTTATATTTCAGTTTTCGTTAAACAAACAATATTTTGAATATTTTTATTTCAACTTTTTCAAACAGACAAGTTTTTAACGTTGAAAGCAACTTCAATGTTTTTATAATCTGAGCATTCAGTGACTCAACGTGTCACGGGTAATATATATATATATATATATATATATATATATATATATATATATATATATATATAATATATATAGGAGGATTTGATAATTATAATTATATTTAATTAATTCATCGAGTCTGATAGAAACCTCAACAGAATGCAGAAAGCACTGGACGGCCGTTTCGTCCTATATTTGGTCATATATATATATATATATATATATATATATATATATATATATATATATAAATGATTTTAAAATACGATTTTTTTTATACAGCAAGTATTTTTATTCCAACTTTCTTCAAACAGACAATTTTTTTCATTTTCAAAGTAACTTCAATAACTGCAAATTAATGTATTTGTAAAATACCTCTACTTTCACAAACTCTTCATGAAACTAAGTGTATACAGTAAACACAACAAGGTTGACCCAACGGATCACAGGTCGTCTAATATACTCTAAAAACTATGCTTTTAAAAACCGTATACTGTATTGCCTTCAATCTCGTCGGAATGGCCGCTAAGAACATCCCCTCCTCAAATTTATAGACAAATCCTAAAGATGATGATTTCTTCCAAACCAATAAAAATGGATAATTCTTGGAGTCATTCCTTCATAATTTTCTTCTTTCTTCTGTTGAAGTAAGAACGCTATAATCACTTTGCTGCATTCCTTTTTGCTTGCAAACACAATTATTACATTGTGAACTTTTTGCTTTGTTCCTGTTGCTTTGCTTACTTTTGACTTGCATATATATTGTTTGCTTAGTATTATTTTGCTAAGTTCTTTTTTTCTTCTTTTTCTTATTGTTTATTGTAAAGTTTATCAATTACGTTTGTTGAGAATTTTCTCAATTTCACTTCATTACTCCACATACAGATTCTCTCGATTTGATACTTATTCCATTTTAAATCTCTTCGGGGCGTAGACAACCGTTACCGAAAATATTAGTTCAGTTTAATAAGTAAAAATTAAAAGAGGTTTTTTTTTTCTTTTTTTTTTCTACAGAGTGCGATGAGTAAATTGTCGCCTTCTTATATTTTTTTTAATTTTGCGCATGCGTGTTCTTTGTTTTTGATTTTTACACTATATTACAGTGCTACTCAAAGTGCTGTTCCGCGGACCGGTGCCGGTACGCAAACCATCAGCTACCGGTACGTTGCCATGCTAATGAATCATTTGAAGAATTGGTAGATGCCAGCCAAACGGTACACCGCCGTCAGAATATGTACTTTCGTACCAAACTTGGTACTTTCGCTTTCAAGTGAAGGTTTTGGTACAATCGGTACAACTAAGCTATAATATAATTAAAATAATGTGGATTTAGTTGAATATATATCATTTCCGGTATAAATTAATATTACAACGAAATATTACAGGTACGTGACACATTGAAAGAAAAAATGATGGTCTGCTATAACAGATAGTTTGAGAAGCATTCACAAACTTAAACAAGGAGAATGTCCAGAAAAGTTGAAGAGATTCCGAAGTCGTCTGCAGGCCGTGATTGAAGCCAGTAGCGATTTTATTGAAGAAATTTACAAATGGTACACCGCCAGAGCCAGAACCGTCAGAATATGTACTTTCGTACGAAACTTATTACTTTTTGCTTTCAAATGAAGGTTATAGTACGATCGGTACAACTTTTACTGAAACTTAAAATACTTGGTGCCATCTGAAATAAATTATTTAATTTGGTATTTTTCGAAATAGATTATTTAGCTATAACATAATTATAATAATGTGGACTTAGGTGAATTTATATCGTTTCCGGTATAAATTACCAAGAAATATTACAGGTTAAGAAAAAGATCGCGCCAAATAATATTCCCTCTACAATGCCCCAGTAAAAGAGTTTTAAAAAATAGTGAACCAAATACAGTGTAACCCGGATATAAGAGACCCGGATATAAGAGAAACCCGGATATAAGAGAAACCCGGATATAAGAGAGATTTTCTCTGGTCCCAAATTAGAGCCTGTGTTAATGTATATAAAATAGACCCAACCCTGATATAAGAGAAACCCTTATATAAGAGACTTCTTCTCCGGCCCCGACAACTCTCTTATATCCGGGTTACACTGTATTTTATTTGCTTCTGCTCATCAAGGATATAATTTTTCGAGTAGTTCTTTCGTTGACTATACTTAAATACTTGATTTTTACATTCGCTGCATACACCTTTAGTTGCGAATTTCGTTAAACACTTGACAAAAAAGTTGCAATCATTATATATATCATTAAAATAACTGAATTTTGTTAAAATTGAACTGTTCTATAAGCAATGCCGATATTTTCCTCTTTATTGAAATGCATTCAAATATTTGCATGTTAAATTATTTTCAAGTTACTGGCACAGAACAATTTGCAGGGTGCTTGTTTGTATTTTTTTTCGATATTTTCTTTTGTATAAAATAAATAAAAAGTAACCATGTTTGCAATGCAAAATTGTAAATAGACTAAGCCAGAGTTTCGCCATCTTGGCAGCATTTCAACTGTTCCCTCATCATATCCACTTAAAGAGACCAGGAGGCTTACTGTCACATCACGTTGAAACACCGCTGTTCGTACGATCACCAAAGTTAAGCAACCTCGAGCCGAATAATGGGTGACCGTTTGAGAATACCACGTGCTATAAGCTTGGATGAGCAGATGGTGTAATTGATAATGGATCGGAATTGTTAATCGGAGAGAGCCGAGTTCAAGTTCCCGCTGGGTTCATTATATTAACTTACGCGCAAAAGCCATTGGGAAAGGTATAATTCACATCTTCCCCCAGCTATGGGTTAATTAGTAAGACTTGTATCATTAAACCATTATTATTATTGTTTTTTAAATTATTAGAATCTAAAACTCTTTCCTGGCTTTAAATAACCTGCAAAGTGTTGATAAACCGTAAAAACGAAGTAATCAAATTAAAGAGCCCACTGAACAAAAAAAAAAGTTAAACAAATAGCAACAAAACTGGAGACCTCTGCCCCCTTATTGATTGTGTCCACTCGGTTAACAGCTTCCTACTCTTTTTCTTCTTCTTCTTCTCCTTTCTCCTCGATTATGACGTTCCAGTTTCAAATTTCCCGATCATACAGAATTGACTTGATTGCCTGGGTCACAGGACATTGCTATTCTTCGACATCATTCAATTATTTCTAACTAGTTGTAAATTGAAAAATATGTGGTTGGATATCTGAGAATTGTGTCGCCGTTTGAATCGAGGTGGTTCAAAAGAAGGGGTTTGTACTTAATGGAAACTGTTGGGTAGTCTTCTTCTTCTTCTTCTTCTTCTTCTTCTTCTTCTTCTTCTTCTTCTTCTTTTCATCCTCCTCCTGCTTCTTCTTCACCATGTTTTCTTAAGCTCGCTTCTTTTTCTACTTCTTCTCTGTTTGCACTTTTTCTCTTTATCCTGTATCTAGAAGAAGAAGAAGAAGAAGAAAAAGAGGAAGAAGAAGAAGAAGAAGAAGAAAAAGAGGAAGAAGAAAAAGAAGAAGAAGAAGAAAAAGAGGAAGAAGAAAAAGAAGAAGAAGAAGGTCTTCTTCGCCAATGTTACTTTAGCTCCTTTTTTATTTTTCTCTATTCTTTCTCTTTTTCCGTTTTATCAACTTTCTCGGTGGAGAAGAAGAAAAAAAGAAAAAGAAAAAAAAATGACGTAAAAGGAGACAACGAAGAAGGCACCAAAGATTTTCTAGTCTCTCAGTCTTTGTCTGTTTCTCCTTCAATTCCTCCTCCTTCTTCTACTCTGTCTCTTTGCTTTCTCTTTCTTTTCCCCATTAAGTTAGCTTTTTCTTCATCCGCTGCCTTTTCCATTTTTATGATTCCCATTTGCCATTTTTCTTCTTCTTCCTCCACCTCTTATCCAATTATTATTATTATTATTATTATTATTATTATTATTATTATTATTATTCTTTCCCCTCTCATCTCGTTTATTTTAAATATTTTTCTTCTCCATTTTTCTTCTTCTTTCTCCACCATCATCCTAATAACTCTTCCATTTTTTTTCTTCTTCCATTTTTTATTCCCGCTCTATATTCTTGAACTTTTCGGCTTACCCAAGACACACACACGCACTCACTTCCAATCGCCATTATATCTTGACGTACATTTAATAAATCTGGACTAAATTTCATTTTAATTGACTTTTCGCAGGTATCATTACGTTTACATCAGCCAGTGTGTATTTCTCTATCAAAAACCTGCTGTCAAGATTGAAGATCCCCCAGACCATCATTTGGAGAGATATTGATCCTATACCAGAACCATCAAACCATGAACAACAATTCATCAGAATAAAATCAGAAGAAAAAGCAATGGTAAGTCGTCTGTCTTCTCTAACATATCTGGATGCACGGGTGGTGTAATGGATAGCGGCACGGAATGAGAAATCGGAGAGTCTGGTTCGAATTTCAGTCGGGGTCGTAACATTCACTTACGCGAAAATACCCTCGAAAAAAGTATGTTTCCATCTCCTCCCCACCAAGTTAACTTGTTAACACGAGGGCAACGCCGTCTATTACCACAATAGAAGAACATTTCATTATCTAAAATAGGGGAGATAACGATGCGTAACCGGTAAATATATAAAGTTACATTGTATATATATATATATATATATATATATATATATATATGAAAAGTGTGTGTATATAAATATAAATAAATATATATATGTATAATTATTTATATATTATATATATATATATATGGTGGCTGTCGACTCGCAAAGCAAGTATGACCAACACCGACACGTCCAGCCCTACACTTAAATTCCGCCTTCAACACTGTATTCATCGGTTGTGTGAACGATAGCGGCCCATAAAGCCAGCCATCGATCAGCATTTCGTTCACTTCCAATGTGTCCTTTCATATGCCTTGTCAGGCCCGACATATATATATATATATATATATATATATATATATATAGTAGCAATATCAATAATAATTACACTAATAGTAGCAATATCAATAATAATTACACTAATAATAATAAAATAAAATAAATAACCAATAATAAGAGTACCCCAACAAGCGCATCAACTAATTACATCATCAAACTTATTATAAAGAAAACAAAAAATGAAAAGTAAAAAAAAGGAAGTTAATTGCTAAAACCTCCATGGATTAAAGAATTGCAAAAAAGTTAATCTACAAAACTCTGGTGGCGAATTACTGAAGATAACATCAATCAACTAAGTGACAAATTTTATTTGCATTAATTCTACGAGTGTGTGTGTGAAAATATATAGAAAATTTGGTAAATAATCCAAAGTTCTTTAGTATTTGTGTTTTCGGCTCTTGTTTTGAAACATGAGAACTCTTATGTAGCGATGGAATCATATTTTTAAATAAATAATTATATATATATATATATATATATAGTAATCCACAGACAGGCTGTTTCGCAGCTCATTAGTGTGGCTAGACATCCGATCGCTTCAAGTCGGGATCGAACCGCGACCGATTTGGTATCAATCGGACATTCTAACCTCTAGGCTATCAAAGCGAGTATTTGTTTTATCATAAACCCACCAGTGTTTATGTTAAAATAAAATAAAATGACCTACAGAACTTTGAGAGTCTTGCATTATCAGCAGTAATAGTGACTCATTAAAAATTCGCGCATTTTCTCCCCACAATGCTAGAACGAATTAATTATTTTTCGGGAGCTAATATCGTCATCCATGGCCAGACTGTTTCGCTGTTTCACAGCTCACCAGTATGGCTAGACATCCGATCGCTTCAGGCCGGGATCGAAACACGACCGATTTGGTATCAATCAAAGATTTTAATCCCCTAGGCTACCGACGCCCGGCAAGATGAATATATAGAAATATTCACGAAATAAATTATAATCGAAATGAATCATTAATGTTTCTTTCTTGATTATTATTATTATTATTATTATTATTATTATTATTATCTTTACAATTGACCTCTCCCTGGATTAATATCCAATTTGGAATTATCCGTACCAGTTAGAAATTGGTAATAAATATATATATATATATATATATATATATTGTCATCCATAGAAAGACTGTTTCGCTGTATCACAGCTCATCAGTTTGGCTAGACGTCCGGTTGCCTCTAGCCAGGCAGCATATCTTCATTCAAGAATATTTGATTAAATAATCTAGGCATTTTATGTTTGTTTATTTTTACTTTAATCCTTTCAAATTCACGGATCAATTTCTTAATGTTCTCAATGTTACCATTAAACACATTCGCTAAAACACTGTAGTTTTTTCTCATTCCTTTTAATTTTTTAATCAACAGGCCACGTTTCACGCGCATTTACAAAAAATCACAACTATCTATTACATTAGTTTTTGTCTCAGCAGTTCTTGGATGAGATTGAAACTACTTGGGAAAATAAAACAGAAAAGAAAACAGAAAGAAAGTGAATAAGGATGAAAGGATGAAGATGAAAAAGAAAGAAAATGGCGCAGTGACAAATGGGATGGCAAGGTAGAAGGTAGAAAAAGGAATAAGTGACAAAAAAGAAGAAAAAAGAAGCAAATAGAAAAGAAGGAAAGGAAGAGAAGCAATAGGATGAAAAAAAGAAAGAAAGAAAGAAAGAAAGAAAGAAAGAAAGAAAGAAAGAAAAGGATGAAATAAAATAAGAATAAATGAATGAAAAATCAGCGGACAGAAAGAAACAAACATAAGAAGAAAGAAAGAAAGAAACAAACAAACAAACAAAGAGAAGCAAGTAGAAATAGAAGAAAAGAAAGAAAGAAAAGTGGCGTAAACTATAAAGCGACATAAATAAAAGAAAGAAAGAAAAAAGAAAGAAAAGAAGTAAAAAGAGGAGGAAAGAAAATAAGAAAGAATGAATGACCGATAAGCAGACACCAAGAATCAAACATAAGTAGGCAAAAATAAAAAAGAAGAAAGTTGATTGAAAAAATAAAGAAAGAATGTAAAGAGTCGTAAAAGATAAAACAGAAAGAAAGAAAGAAAGAAAGAAAGAAAGAAAGAAAGGATGTGTGAATAAAAGATAAACAGGCGGAGAGAAACAAATATTAGCAGGCAGAAATAGAAAGAAAGAAATAAAGAAAAAGAAAGAAAGAAAGAAAGAAAGAAAGAAAGAAGCAAACAAAGTAGAAGAAAGAAGTTGATCGAAAAAAGAAAGAAAAGAGACGTAAAAGATAAGCTCACAGAAACATAAGCGTGAAAAAAAAGGAAACAAGCGAACGAACAGGAAGAAAGAAAGTTGATCGAAAAAAGAAAGAAAGAAGATGAGAAGAAAGAAAGAAACAGAATGAAAGATTGTAAGAATGAATGAATGAAAGATAAGCGAGCTGAAATGAACAAAGATTGGCATGCAGAAAAAAGAAAGAAAGAAAGAAAGAAAGAAAGAAGGATATAAATAAACAGAAAGAAAGAAAGAAAGAAAAAAAGAAAGAAAGAAAGAAAGAAAATGAAAGAAAGTAGGGGTGAATGAATGAAAGAGAAACAGACGGAAAGAAAAACATAAGATAGAAAATAAAAGAAAAAAGAAAGAAGCAAACAAACAAGAAGAAAAAGATTGATCGAAAAAAGAAAGAAAAATGTTTAAGACTATTCTGAATTAAAGACAATAAAGAGAATTATATTCAGTATAAAAGAGAAATGAAATTTTGGCCGCGTTTTGTTGGCCCAGTGTTTTTGGCAATCGGATTCCATTCATGAAAATGTCTGTCAATGAAGCGAAAACCCAACAATTCAGAGAATGGTGAAGCCGTTGCGTGAAATTTAAGAAATAGAAGATAATAAGGCATATGAATGAATGCCAAAATGAGAGGAGAAACCCTTAAGAGGCAAACATAGATGCCAAACAAAATGGTAGAGCGCATGCGTAAAACTATACATTGCTTGCAATGATTATTGGAGGTTGCATACCACTTATTGCAGACTCCCTTTACTTTGGATGCTACAAAATTGTAGCCCCGTACCAAACTACATACGAGCACCTGCTATTCTTACTGAGTTTATAAGCGCGAGGCATTTATGACATTATGTCAGATTAGTAACGAGAAAATGGTTAAAAAGAAACACTGCGACTTAATACAGATTTGATAAGTCCATGGTGGGGATTTTCCTCATCGATCTGCGCTTCGGATTAAGAGAACAGTTATAAAAAAAAACATATTCATATGCTACTAAAGATAGTATAGTCATTAATATACACTAAACATACTGTTATAACCAATACGAATAGGTAGCTATGAGAAATGTTACCAATTTGGTTATAAGTGTGAACCAGTCTACATCCTGGATAAGTCATCAAAGGAATTGAATATTGAATGAAAAGGGATCAAAAAAGAGGTCAACAGCTGATGTACGACAATTCTGAAATAAATTATATTTAGAATCTATCTATCTATCTATCTATCTATCTATCTATCTATGTTCATATCTATATATCTATGTTCATATCTCTATCTATCTATCTAGTTAGCTATGTCTGTTCCTATCTATCTATCTATCTATCATCTATCTATGCCTGTTCATATATATATATATATGTGTGTGTGGGGGGGTGCGTGTGTGTGTGTGTGTTCATATCTATCTATCAATTTATTTATCTATCTACGCCTGTTCATACCTATCTATCTCGCTCCCTCCCTCTCTCTCTCTCTCCCTCTCTCTCTCTCTCTCTCTCTCTATATATATATATATATATATATATATATATGTTCATACATATCTATTTATCTATGTCGGTTCATAACCATCTATATATCTATGTTTATTCATATCTATTCTATTTATCTATGTCTGTTCCTATCTATCTATCTATCTATCTATCTATCTATCTATCTATGTATCTATCTATCTATCTATCTATCTATCAATGTCTGTTCATCACTATCTACATTTGGCCGGAAAATGGAAGCAAAGATGATCAAGTAGTATAGTTCTACGTGTTTCTTACAATGGCCATTAATACACATCTTTCATTATGATTCATTACAAATTGATTGGATTAGTTGCCTGTAAAGAGTGCAGAACGACTCATCACAGCCAACTCAACGCCGCCGACTCACCACCGGCCAACTCAACTCCAGGACAACTCACCATCCACCTCCTCAGCGCGAGGACAACTCATCGACATGCAAACTAAGAAATTTTTTCGTCGATTTTTTTAAAAGAAATAAATGTAATTTATTAAGGAACATTTTTTATTACATGATTTTATTTTTATTTTAAAATTTATTGAAAATTGAATGCAATTCCTCTGAAATATTCAGTTTGAGATCGTTGTCCAAAAGAAGAACCCATCTGCAAAATTCTTTCATCGGCCTTCATTTAATTCTTCAATTTAGGAGGAGGGAGATAACCTCCAATTAGTTGCTCAAAAAATACATCTTGGTTTCTTTGCACCTTTTGCAGCCCTGTAAGGAATCTCCATATTGTGGGGTGCCCCATCCCCCAGCTCTGTGAACAGTCTTCCATTGGCTGTTTCGGCATTGTTATTTGTCTGGTCTTCCTTGTGCACCGTTCTCTCGTAAATATTCCATATTTCCGGGATGAGGGAGAATGTCTTCTACTGGTTACACGGCGATTTGGTCTTCCAATAGAGTTATATTCAAACCAATTCAGTAATAAAGCAAGTTCTTCGGGTAAGCCCACAGAGAGGGCCTCAATATAAGTATCAATATTTCGAAAGCGAACAAATGTTATACTTAATATCATTTTGTCTTTTAGTGCAAAGATGACATCGTTGTGGTACGTAGAACTGTCACACATGGCAGCTATCTTTTAGTGGATATGCTATGATAAATGACTATTTGTCCGATGCTGAAAATTAAACACCTGTCACCCAAATACACTATTGTAATTAACAAATTTCTCCGAATCAAAGCCGATTTAATAGCTGTATACACTATGACAGCCAACACCGGTCTGAAACTCTGAATTCAACGCCAGCGTTGAGTTGTTCTCGCGCTGAGTAGGTTGATGGTGAGATGTTACTGCGTTGGCCAGTGTTGAGTAAGTGGTGATGAAATGTCCCATCCCTGTCTCTAACGGAACTGATGTGACTATCCAAAAATGCTGGTTACTTTATATATGAGGAACACTCTGAAATTAATGGTTCCTAATTATTTCTACATAAACACTAACACTTACGCGAGATAAATAACAATACTCTATATAGTAAGTTTTCGCGTACAAGCCACTTATTCGCCGCTATTGGCTATGCGTTTTTCTACTATTGTTTGCCCAATACAAAGCCCAAGTTCTACGCAAGATGGAATGTTGCTAATTAAGGCGTACGAGGAGGAAGTCAGGAGTCCATATTATGACATAGTTCACATGGAATGAGTTTGGTTGTCACATGTTTTTCTTAGTTGTTTTTCTCATCCTAATATGTTGTTATACTGTTGTTCACGCAATACAATTCACTCACGGGTTACAGATTAAGGTTCGTAAATGGGGACGACGAGAAATGTATATTCCCTTCGGTCCGCGCGAACTCCGACTCACGCTGTGACCATCACTACATCACGGCTTGCAACTTCTTAACAGATGGCTCGAACCTACTCTCAATTCTATGACTTTGTTTATATAAGCCCACGACAGGGATTTCATAACTTTGGGCTAATTGGCCCTTGATTCCGAAAGTTTTCATTCATTTATTTACTCTTTACACTCGGTCCAGGTATTCATAAACCTGCCGCGCTTCGGGCGCAGATAAAATCATTTACATTTAACGTAGGTGCTCTAAGCAAAACATATAAGAGTGGAGAGTCACTGTGTCAGGGCTTACATCCACACGTTGAAACACCGATTCCCATATGATCACCAAAGTTAAGCAACATCGAGCCTAATCAGTACCTAGATGGGAGACTACTCGAGAATACCAGGTGCTGTAAACTTGGATGTGCGGGTGGTGTAATGAGTAATGGCTTGGAATTGTTAATCTGAGAACAGAATTCCAGTTTGAAGAGATCACCGAAGTTAGACAACGTCGAGCCTGGTCAGTACTTAGGTGAGTGACCGCTTGGAAATACCAGGTGCTATAGGCATGGATGTGCAGGTGGTGTAATGGATAATGGATCGGATTTGCTAATCGGAGAGTCGAGTTCCAATTCCAACTGGGTTCGTTATATTCACTTACACGCGAATACCTTTGTAAATGGTATGAACCCATATCTTCTCTCCCCAGCTATGGGTTAATTAGTAAGACTTGTGTCACTAAAACCATTACTATCTCCAGAAATAAAGAAATAAAATTGCGTACTAGATATTTAGATTTCGACATTAAATGGCCAATAGAGATGTTGATATGCCGCTAAACAAAAACAAACAACCAATCATTGTGTCAGAAAATTGTGTCGAAAAATGGCTGAAATAAATCAATGTGCAATAGTAACAATACTTTATCTCGTAAATTCTGATAAAATATTTATGTAGAGTATTATATATAATATATTTTTAAAGCCATTATATATCACTGAGCATATAAGCATTTGCCCGGGTGTTTGCGCAAGCATAGATAATGGATACATTTTTGCAGAATACCAGGGCTTATTTTAAATAAAGATGTAAATTGAACTCTGCTTTGTGTCGTTAAGTACGTATTTGGGTCATCTGGAAGGTTGGCAGTTTATTTGTAGGCAAACCGCCGGTCCCTGTCAGCATGTGTACAAGAGAAACAGGAGATTAATGTATATAAGTACATATACAAAGGCCAGGAAAAGTGCACCGGTAAATAAACGCACAATGTAAATTTTAACAACACAAGCAGACATCAGTAATTTTTTGGATGATATCCAACGAAACTTGATTTTCTCTAAACTCTGACCAATACGATTGTCCATTTATCTTTCCCTTTCATTTATTCTCCATTTTTCTTTTTTTTTCTTCTTTTTGTCCTTATTTTAAGGAAATACAGTTCGTTCGACTTTTTGCTACTCATTGCCTATTCCAACACGAAATTGACGTCATTTCCTGTTTGCAGTTTCGCCGCCATCTTGTTTTAATAGTATTATTATTCTCTTTTTACTTTTTTCGCTTACATTTTTAATAAAATGTTATTTCAAATTTCCGCTTCTCGTTTCCTTTGACCAACCAATTCTGATTAAAAATTCTACAAAAAGTGATTATTAGGTTATCGAAAAATTGTTACTTCTATTAATCTTTTGATTAAGGAATTTCTGTAACGTTATCGATTTTCATCATCTTATGTAGTGCAGAGAAAGAGCAAGATTTCCACGTTGTTAAAATCCAGGAATAATTCCTTCGTTTCATTACTGGAAGCAGAGAAGACTAACCCTTACCGCCCTTGAAAATTAGCCCAGTTGAAGAATTTATCAAAATGTTAATACCACCCGTATTTGGTCTGATTTTTTAACGGTGAAATTGATGTCTACCGACCTATACATGAAAGTCATTTTAAAGAAAATGTGCTACTCAGCAAGAAACGAAACTGTATTCCCATTTTAATAATGAGAAATCCATGTCATTTAAAAGTCTAATCAAAGAAAATGTCAGAAACATAAGTTTTTTTTATATCTATTCAAACACATGCATCCACTAAATAAAAATTACATATAGATAGATAGATAGATAGATATGAGAGGGAGAAAGATCTCTCTCTCTCTCTCTCTCTCTCTCTCTCTCTCTCTCTCTCTCTCTCTCTCTCTCTCTCTCTGTGGCCGAGTGGCTAGAACGTTCGCATTCTGACCATGAGACCCGGGTTCGAATCTCACCATGGTCGATTAGTCAGGAAAGAGACTTCCCAATATTTCCTCGAATACGAGTGGCCAGCTATACATATATATTGTTAGGTAAATGAAATAACTAGATATTAGCGATCGTATATGCGCGTGCTGGCGTCCATGCATTGGTAAGCAAATAAATAATTACAAAATTTACCCAAGAGGTGTAGACATAATAGTGTTCAATAAGATTAGGCAGAGCTAAGAAATATATGTTAATAAATACACATATGAGCATTCGTATGCTTTTTAAATAAACAATAAGCTATATCTTGTGCCCGATCAGCTGGGTAACCAACGACACTTAAGTCGCACACCAAACGTAGGTATATATGTATTTTTTTTTATATATATATATATATATATATATATATATATATATATATATATATATATATATATATATATATATATATATATATATATATATTTCCGTATATTTTGTATGTTTGGTCAAATGATTTAGACGTATTATGTCTATTATTTTAGTTTTAATCTTATCAAGTCCTCGAATTAATTTCTTCGTGGTGGTACAAAATTCATCAAAAAAAATTCCAAAATTTGCATTTGATCACAGTATAGTAGTTTATGAGCATATATATATATATATATATATATATATATATATATATATATATATATATATATATATATATATAATAAATTGAACATTGAAGTCAACACTCAGAGACGACAAGCTGTTTCATGCTGGACACAAGCGGCCTGACGATTGCGTCCAGCATGAAAAACAGCCTGTCACCTCTGGGTGTTGACTTCAATGTTCACTTTTATATTTGTATTTCCATACGCTCTATCTCTGATATTGAGCACTTTATAAATATAGCACACCTTAAAATTATATTTCTTCATATACACACACACACACATATATATATATATATATATATATATATATATATATATGGTGGACTCTCCCGTAGTATTCAACGTATGAGGAACTGACAGCCAGACACCAGCACATATGATTTGATTATAGTGGTGAAGGCTTTGTGCAGAACCAACCACACTTTTTGAAGGGCCGAATACAGAGACCTGGTGCACTATGCACCATAAGGTCTCCACAAACAACCCTCCTCAGGTTTTAAATTCAGAGTATCCTTCTACTACCAGTTACCATCCAAGGCTATAGAACCCAGTCTGTCCTGCTATTTACCCGTAGCTGTAGGGAGAAGGGAATTCATACTTTTACCAAGGGTATTAGCACGTAAATGAATGTAATGGATTCGACTGGAATACAAAATAAAAATATTCCCAGGAGAAAAAGAAAAAAAAAAGTTGTCGGCATTAAATGACCCATTGAGGTGCTGATATGCTGTAAACCAAACCAAATCTTTCTAAACCAATGAAAATCAACCCACTCTTTTCCTCTACAACACACAAACACGTGACACCCATACCGACAGTATCGTACAATCAGGGTTGGCCAAAATTTACCTGCTTTCCTTTGTCAGGCCACAACGATAACATTTGTCCCTTTTTAACGTTCATAATCAAAATTTGAGGTAAGAACACTCCAAACTTCTTTTTTTCTCCAACTAAATTATCTGGACACTCACTACACGCATTATATAAAAAATACTAGAAAGACTATATAGCTGTAGTGACAAAAGTACGCAGGTGTAGGCTTTAAGAAAGCTTTATTCAACTGAAAATACAAGGTTCAAATATAGTGTCCTTTTATAGTCCCAATAAACAGAAATAGCTCTCTCAAAGAGGAGAGTAACTTTTGATTATTTATAACAATACCATTTACTCAGTATTACTATCCCTCGTGTTACTAACACTACTGTCAACTAGATAATAAATAATATTTGTTTTGTTGTTTCCATATCTTGATATATCTCATCTTCTACAAGTACTTTTGTATGTATAAATGTAAGGGTTTTTTTTTTAACAGGTTAAGATTGTAGTGATCGGGGAAATATCTTCATTGGAGTCTATTACACAGGGCAGTGATTCGAAGCTATTTGAGTGTAACCTACTTCTTGCTGATGGAACACGGAGGGAATGTGGGTGGTTCACTACTATGTAAGTGGCATGGCGGGACCAAACCGTGAAGGTCAAACCTGGCTGAACCAGGGAATGTAGTTAATCCGAGCACTTTTCATGAAATAGCCATAGAACAAGCGGGGAGACTGGCCATATCCCGCCTGTGAGAGAGAGATTAGAGAGTGGAAAATAATTCTTCTCCAACAAGGACTCTGAGACGCTTTTGAACTTAAGACTGGAAAGTGAAGACTGTGTAGCTCCTGTCCAAATATGACAACAGTACTCCATCTGCGACCTGATCTGTCTCTATACTTTAGTATATCTCTCCCATCACCTCTCTTTCTCTCTCTGTCTATCTCTCTATTTCTCTCTTCTCCTTCTTTCCTTTTCTTTTCTCCCTTCTCTATTTTTTTTTTTTTACTGACTAATTTGTCTACCAAATTGGTCTGCTCTGATCTCTTAAATGTTCGCAGATCGATCGAAGGTTAAATCTGTCTTTTTCTTATTCCTGTTTTCTTTTGTTCTCTTTTGTCCTTTGAAGTGTTTCACTTGTCTTCCATCGACAGTTCGACGCTGAGATCGCACACGCATTAAATCACGCTTATAATCACATACAAGTATTAGTACTCATAGACACGCCTGTGTACACATCTTTGTGCGTAAGCACACCCACAAGCTGAATGCCATTAACACCGAAATAAACCAGTGAAATTCAATTGGCCTTTCTAATAATAATTAGGATTCTCTCTCCTTGTTATAACGTAGAAAAGTTCAAGAGAACGAGAGTGATTTCGCTGTTAATTCACATCCAAAAATCATAATTTAATAAAGTTCTTGCCGTAGAGCAATGATTAGAGAGTTACGTAAGTAAGTTGCAATGAATTTGATCCTTACTCAGTGCCCTACTATGATGAGTGTATGCAAGACTATTCCAAAAATGTTTAGACCATGGATCTAAATGTATTTGTTATTGTCGTTGATAACGTTTTCGACCGAGCTAGTCTTCATGATTTTTTCTTGTTTTGGATTTTAAACTAGTTTTTTTTTTTTTTTTTTTTTTTTTGCCACACCATGAAGATAAAATCGGAGGGAAGATTCACTTAAAACTATGATTTATTATTTATTTTCTAATGTTCAAATTC